CGATTTGCATTTCCCTGATAGTCAATGATTTTGAACATCCTTTCATGTGCCTGTTGGCCATCTGTATATTTTCTTTGGAGAAATGTCTCTTCAGATCTTTTGCCCATTCTTAAATTGGGTTGTTAGTTTTGTTGTTGTTGAGATGTATGCATTCTTTGTATATTTTGGATATTAACCCCTTATCAGATATATGGTTTGCAAATATCTTCTCCCAATTGTTAGGTCATCTTTTCATTTTGTTGATGGTGTCCTTTGCTGTGCAGCAACTTTTCAGTTTGATGTAGTACTATTTGTTTATCTTTTCTTTTGTTGCCTGTGCCTTTGGTGTCAATTCCAAAAAATCATTGCCAAAACCAATATCAAGGAGCTCTTCTCCTGTGTTGTCTTCTAGGAGTTTTATGGCTTTAGGTCTTATGTTTAAGTCTTTAATCCATTTTGAGTTGATTTTTGTCTCTGGTTTGAGTCCATTGTTCCCAATGCTATTTCCTGAAAAGACTATCTTTTCCCCATTGTATACTCTTGGAACCTTTGTTGAAAATTTGTTGACTGTATATGTGTCGTTTATTTCTCAGCTCTCTATTCTGTTTAATTGGTCTCTGTGTCTCTTTTCATTAGCATAATAATGTTGTCGAGACTCATCCATATTGTGGTATATATCAGTACTTAATTCCTTTTTTTTGGTTGAATAATGTTCCATTTTATGGATATAACATTTTGTTTATCAGTTCATCAGTTGATGGACATTTAGGTTGCTTTCACTTTTTGTCTATTGTGAATAATGCTATGAACATAGTTTTTGTATGGATGTATGCTTTCACTTATTTTGAGTATGTACCTCAGAGAAATGTTGAATCTTATAGTAACTCCATGTTTATCATTTTGAAGAACTGTCAGACTGTTTTCCAAAGTGGCTGCATCATTTAACATTCCTGCCAACAGTATATGAAGGTTTCAATTTCTCCCCACCATCTTCCCCAACACTTGTAATTATCTGACATTTTGATTGTAGCCATCCTAGAGGGTTTGACTCATATCACACTGTGGTTTTGATTTGCATTTCTTCAATGGTTAATGATGTTGAGCATCTTTTCATGTGTTTATTGGACATTTTTATGTCTTCTTTGGAGAAGTGTCTATTCACATCCTTTGCCCATTTTTCAATTGGGTCTCTTTGTATTGTTGACTTTTCCATAATGGACCAATAGTTCTTTACATATTCTAGATACAAATCCCTTATCAGATATATGATTTGCAAATATTTTCTCCCAGTTTGTGGCTTGTCTTTTTACTTTCTTGATGGTGTCTTTTGAAGCAAAAAATTTTAAATTTTGATGAAGTCTAATTTGTCTAGCTTTTCTTTTGTCACTTGTGGTTTTGGGGTTGTATCTAAGAAGGCTTTGCCTATTCCAAAGTTATGAAGATTTAATCCTATGTTTTCTTTTAGAAGCTTTATAGTTTCAGTTCTTACCTTTAGGTCTGTGATCCATTTTGAATTAATTTTTGCGTAGGGTGTAAGGAAGGGGTCCAACTTCATTCTTGTGCATGTAGATACTGTATGTTACAGGAAGTTATAAGAAAAAGATAAAGTTACTCTAAGGACAATCATTTCCAAGCAAAGGACCTATTTGTAGGTTCTCTTCTTGTGTTCCTCTTCATAATACTTCTGCCCTATTTGTCGTGGCATGTGAGTTGTGATGGGGAGGTGATAGCGGGTGGAACAGTGTCTCCCCAAAATTCATGTCTGCTCAGTACCTCAGAATGTGACTTTATTTGGAAATAGGGTCTTTGCAGATGTAATTAGTTAGGGATCTTGAGAGGATATCCTATAGGATTTAGGGTGGGCCCTAAAGCCAATGTTCTTAGAAGACAAAGAGAGGACACAGAGACACACAGAGAAGAGGGGCATGTGAAGACAGAGGCAGAGATTTTGAAGTGATGCAGCTATAAGCCAAGATTGCTGGGAGCCATCAGAAGCTAGGAAGAGGCAGGGACTCCATGGAGTCCTTATACAGAACACGGCCCCGCTGACACCTTGATTTTGGATTTCTAGCCTCTAGAACTGTGAGAGAACATATGTCTGTTTTAAGCCACCTAGTTTGTGGTAGTTTGTTATGTCAGTCCTATGAAACTAATACAGGAGTATATGTGAAATTATGAAATACTGTGAAAGGAGGAGATTTTAATATACATACGCACTTTCAAATATATATCTTTAAGCTTAGTTTAGGGGTCAGCAAACTATGGCCCATAGGCTGGATCTGGCCTATTGCCTGTTTTTGAGAATAAAGTTTTATTGGAATACAGCCATGCCCATTCATTTCTATATTTTCTATGGCTGCTTTAGTGCTACGATGGAAGAATTGAGTATTTGCAACAGAGAACGACATGTCCCACAAAGCCTAAAATATTTATTATCTGTCCCTTTAGAGAAAAACTTTGCTGACATATAACTTAGATCATCAAATTGTCTACTCACTTCATGCCCACAGGGATCATGAGGACAATAAAACATTTAAAGGTGCTGCTGTATTTGGTAGAATTAAGTTTGTCTATGAATGCAGAATTCTCAAAATAGCAGTGACTTAAAGGAGACAGAGATTTATTTCTCTCATGTAAATTTATGCAGTCCAAAGCTAGGATGGCAACCTCATGATCATCAGGAACTCTGCCTCTTACCGTCTTGTTGATTTTCCCTCCTCAACATACAGTTTCTACAGTATAATACAAGACAGCTGCTCGAGCTGCAGGTGCAGCTAGCACATCTATATTCTAGTCAGTAGGAAGAGGGAAAGGGAAAAAGCATACTTTCCTTCAGGAACTCTTCCAGGAAATTAGTCACGACTTCTGCTTATATCACATTAGCCAGAACTTAGTCACATGGCCATACACGGCCACAAAGGAGGCTGAGAAATACAATTATTCTGAGAGGCAAAGTACAGTTAAAAACCAAGGATTCTATTCTTTTAGAAGGAAGGGAAAACAGACCTTAGGGAAGGGACTAGTAATGTCTGCCACAGCTGTGAACTAGGCTGGCTTTTGTCCTTTTTGTTACTCCATGATCCAAGGGAGGCCCCTAGATTGCAGAGAAAGTTCTAAAAATATTAACACACTTATATATGTTGAACAAGTGGCCATGTACCATAGGGATGCATGTGTGGTTCTGTTTCAGGAGTCCCACTGGAAACAATGGTCAAGGATTTGAATCTACAGTGATTTCAGGGAGGCGGAATCTACAGGACTTCATAACTGACTGCACGTGAGGTGGAGGGTGAGAGAGAGAAATCCAGGGTAACTCTCAGGTGTGTGGCTTGAGTGACTAGGAGGACCCTTGAGCATACTGGCATTTGAGAGATGAGAGAATGAGGAGGCTGTTCAGGTTGATTTACTTGTAAGCTCATTAAAGTTGTCAAGATTTATCACCCCTAGGTAATACTCAATTGCTCTTTGAGTCCAAGTGTGTTGCAAAATATGAAGTAGCCAAATGTTCTATAGAGGAAAACTGACAATAAAGCTTACATTCTCCAGGAAGAGCTGGACAGTCTCATTAATTATACTAAGGAGGCACAGAAAAGCTTTAAACAATGCTAGCCAACAAGATCACTATCAAAATGACAGGACAATGTGCCAGATGGTTTTGGAAAATTTCAAGTCTCAAAAATTTAAAATCTATACGAAGGGAAGGTCTTAAAATGTCCCGTGACATAACAACCGATATTTTGTTATAAAAGGAAAGCGAAGAAAAGTTATCTGGTCTTTGGTTTTATGGATGACCTGACTAAAGGTCAGCCAGTTGCTAATTCCTAAATTGCAACTTAATTTGTCTAGGACAGTATTATTCTTATTTTGGGTTGGATAAGATTACTAAAAGCTGAGGAAAGTATACAAATAGTACGTGGTAGGAACCTATGAAAAACTGGAACCCTGGGAAAGTGTTCAAATAAGGATAAGAAAAAATTAAATCCATAGAGTTAATATTTTTACAACTAGTTTTGGTATAATTATTTTTATATTCTGGGTACATCTTACCTGTTTCTTAAGATGTTTAAAGCATTCAATAAAATCTGAAATTTTAGGTTTGTGATTTAAATGAAATGTTTAGATGTGTTTAAATCTGAAGTCAGTGTTTAAAAGAGTGGGGATATCTGATTCCAGAATTTTTTTTTTCCTTTTTCTCCCTAAAGCCCCCTGGTAGGTAGTTGTATATTCTTCGTTGTGGGTCCTTCTAGTTGTGGCATGTGGGACGCTGCCTCAGCGTGGTCTGATGAGCAGTGCCATGTCCGCGCCCAGGATTCGAACCAACTAAACACTGGGCCGCCTGCAGCAGAGCGTGTGAACTTCACCACTCAGCCACGGGGCCAGCCCCTCTGGAAATTTTTAAGTTTTTATTATTAGTTGCACATCTGTGAATAATTAGAGGAATGTTGGCTGTTTAAAAAAATGTCAGTTGATTTCTTAATTAATAAATATGAACATTAATCAAAATACAAATAGTAATGACTTTTTCTCCAAGTCCACAAGCCCTTTGAACATAAATAATCAACATGATGATCCTTTAATACTCTGAGGTTCTGAGAAAATGAGTCACACAGATTTTGGTGCTGAGCATTAATCTTTCATTTTATCAATTTCACTATATTTATTAAATGTTTTCTGAGTGTTATCAAACACTGTTCCAGGCAGTAAGATGATGCACGTTCTAGCGACATTTCAGTCTGAGAAACTGAATAATAAATCATGTATTATTATGTCTAAGCTTAAGTTTTTTCATAAAAGAAGGGCAATAGCACCTGATTGGATGGACCAAATGAACAAATATATGTGAAAGGGTAATGTCCTGCCCTCCTAGACAGAACTAAGTTGTAACAAACAGGTTTTTGACTGAGTAATACTCCTCTGGCTCCCCACCCCGAGCACTAGTATTTTGATGTAATTAATACAATTAGGGTTCACTCCTTAACTTGGAACATTTTGAAGAGAACAAAGGACAACATGAGAATGAATTCACACCAGAGTGACACAGTTTACTGTACAATTAACATAAGCATAATTATTTATGACCCCAAGGAATATATAATAGGCTTCTTATTTACAATTCCTAGTTATGAAGAATTGGTGAAAATCCTTGGCCAACTGTGGTCTGGTTCAGTTCAGACACCTCTTTTCTGGGATTGTCCAAAATCTGCTGATCCTCTTCTGAAAATCCCTTATTGTTCTTGTTTTTCACCTGTACTGAGATACAATGCCTTGTATTCGAGCCCTTTGGACTCTTTATGGAATACTCAGTTTTCTTTTTTCCTGGTTGCAAACTTTGATCAAAGCCTTTATCAATTGTAATTAATCATTATTTCCTGTCTGAGAATTCACCTTGGCTCATTCTCTCTCTTCATAAAATCTGAGTGCCCTATCCTCTGCCTCCTTATGGCAAATGAATGTTAAATGTAGCTCCTTTTGGTGAAGAGAGACTTCCAGAACTGATCTGCCCTGAAAATGGATCTCCAATACACAGTTATTTGAACACAAACTACTACTAGAAATCCTCCTGGACTATAATAACTCAGGGTTTTATTAACTATTTCACATCCACTGACGTGTGGGACATAAAAGTACTTTGAAAAGTTTAACTTTTGTGATAAAATGAGTTCACTTTATCACATTTTTGGTTTTTAGTGTTTTAATAAAAGTCTGTAAATCATTTCAGCTTTGACTCAAGGCCTATAAAATCTAGTCCTTCACGGGGAAAAAAATGAGGGAAGTCTTAGCTGGGAGATATGTTAGAAGAAAAATGAGAAAGCAAAGGGATTACGTTCTTACCTTAGCCTCATGGCTTCTTTAGCCATGCCTGAGAAGACCAAGAGGAAAATAGAAAGCCAAGAAACTGAAGCAGCCCCATAGTTGCACCTATTTATGGCTTATGACAGTTTACATTTGTAACAGTTTATAACATCAAAATGTGATTTCTGTCAAACAAGGCAGTAATCATAAAAATCAAATTAAACCACCTTATATTCTTTTTGGAAAAAGGTGTTACACAAATATATTTTAATAAATAAAATGAATTATTAAGCCAGTTAGTAATACTTCCTTAGTTGTTATATAAGCCAGTAAGGGCTCTTCCCTGATTCTTAACCTCAACATGGCGCCAGAGCTCGCTCTCTGGTACATTCCCCTACTTCTCACCTTCCACAATGGTGCAGGGTGGCATACGGATTCTTAGCCCCTGGTCATTATTTAAAAAAACAAACACTCCTCTCTACTCAAACCTGCAAATATAACAGAAATAATTTTAATGCAAAAATCTGTTTGCTATATGGAAATTTAAAACTAGAACAACAGGATAGAAAAGTAAACATCTCTGAATCACTTTTCAAAGTTCATCAATGACCCTCCGTCTCTTCTAAGACTCTTCTTAAAGTGATCCTAGGAAGTGTTTCATGAGAATAATGCAAGGATTGCTGAAAAACTAACAACAGAATATTGCCATATCACATCACATTGTTTCTCAAATAATGGTACAGAAGATTTAGGTGGTACACTGATGGCTATTTTAAATTTCAAAGTTATATATTTATTTTGATGGAAATTAGAATAAATATAATTAGTATATAAAACTCATAATTTCCATAAACTGTATTTCCTAGGAAAAGGCTAAAAACTCTGGGTCCCTTTAAAGAAAAATATTAAGTAAACATTAAATATGGTAAAAACTTTAGAGGAAGCACACAAAAGACTGAAGTTTGAGAAATAATGCTCTTTTCTGTTTATTTCAAGTTTATGTGACTGGTTACACTACATCACTGCCTTGATTAATCAACATTGATATGATTTAAAAACTTTACCATAAAACTTACAGGCGAATAATTACAGGTTATTTCCCATAGGATTTCTAGTCATTAAAAAAAGTTTTATATCAGATTTGGAACACGACTCCTCATATAATCTCATTCATAAAATAAATTATTTTAACTATTTACAACCTCTCCTGGGAATATAATATGCTACTAATTTGAGATCTAAATTTATTTGGTTTCTATGCATTAAAAGTTTACTTATAAACTTTCTCTTCACTATGAATAATTTCATATATGAATGGGATGAAAAGGTCTGACCAAAAATTTTCCTACATTTATATATTCACACGATTTCCCTCCCCATGAGTTATGTGCTGCTGAGTAAGTGAAGGACTGTGGCTTAAGGTTTTCTCATATTTATTATATTCACACAGTTTCTCCCGAGTATGGATTTTCCTATGTTGATTAAGGTGTGCGCTCTGGCTAAAGGCTTTCTCACATTCACTACATTTATAGGGTTTCTCTCCTGTATGAGTTCTCTCATGCTGATTAAGATGTGTCCTCTGGCTGAAAGCTTTCCCACAAAAACTACATTCATAAGGTTTCTCTCCAGTATGAAGTCTATGATGTTCAGTAAGCGATGTGATACGGCTAAAGGCTTTACCACATTGATTACATTTATAGGGCTTCTCTCCAGTATGAATTCTCAGATGTTGAGTAAAGGATGAATGTTGACGGAAGGCTTTCCCACATTCATTGCATATAAAAGGTTTTTCTCCTGTGTGAATTCTCTGATGTTGAATAAGATGTATCCTCTGGCTGAATCTTTTCCCACATTCATCACACTTATAGGGCTTCTCTCCTGTAAGGACTATCTGAGGTTGAGTAGGAGATGAGTTGCAGCTGAAGGCCTTCCCACATTCACTGGGTTTCTCTTCAGTATGAATATGACTAGTAAGAAGAATATGTTGATTGAAGATTTTTCCGCACTCATTATATTCATAAGGATTCTCTCTTACATAGTTTTCCTGATAGTAAACCAAGTCTGAATTATATTTGATGCTATTTCCTTGTGTGTCAGAATTAAAGGGTATTTTAATTGAAGGAATTCTCTGAGGCATAATAAGCTTTGAGTTCATATTATAGTTTTCCCCAAATCTATTATATTCAAGGCTTCTCTCCTGTGTGATCTTTTTGTGGGTAAAAGATACTTGTTCTAAATATCTCTGCTGGTTTTCTTGATTCAACTCTAACTGGTACTCAAAATCCCATAGTCTTCCTAAGATGGAGTACCAGAAACTGTCTCCTGTTAGTGTCTCCATTATCATCTTGTGGGTTTGATTTTCATCAGAAACATTCTGGTTGGGAGTTGATTTTTTGATTTTGGGTCTATTCTCGCCATCTAAAAGAAATTCAGAACATACAGATATTTTGCAGTATTCCCATGTTTTAAAAAAGAAACTGTGGCAGAATGAATTACCAAATAAAACTGACAGCAATGTGGACAAGGCATATGTGGCCTTGAAAGTTTTAAAATATGGCCATGTAACAAGGGGAAAGACTATAAAAGGATGACAAGAAGCAGTGAGCACAGGGGAATTTTAAAATGTATAGTAATCAATCAAAGAAAGACATCATCCAGGAATATCCAACATTGAAAGGAAATGGAAAGGAGAATAAGAAATATCAGAGAAAAGTCTGTGTTCAGAGGTGGGAGATATTAGAAAGAAAGACTACTCTTACAGAAGACAGGCCCCGAGTCTAGGATGTTATAAACCTCATCTGTGGATTATTCTACTGTAATGCCAGCTACTTGATTATTTAAAAAGTATTTCTTCCTATTTTTTAATCTTTGTTTAAAATGATAAAGCTAATACTTGATTATATTAACATAGTCAAATAATGTGGAAATGCATAAAGTAAGAATTCCACTCCCTAGAAGTAATCATTGTTAATAGTTCAGAACCTTCCAATCTTTCCAGATTTTTCCTGCTTCCTATATTTACAAATATAAACGTAAACCTTATTTTTGAACAAGCATGACTCATGGAACGTGATAAAAACAAAGTTTCATTTCAGTCTCCCACCACTTCTTTAGAAATCTAATCATTCACTGAAACCCCCAAGCCCTACTTTGTACTTCTACCTAATCCCCTATCAGATTTTACACTGCCTAGCCCCCTGTTGTCTGAGATTACAAATAAAATACTTGGGAAGAAAGTGTTTTCAGACATGAAACCAGAAGAGCTTCCCCTGCCTACACTGTGAGAATGGCATGCAATCTATCTTGTGCCCAAGACCTAAGTTAAGTGAGTGTAATATCTGTCATAGCTACAGACGAAGACTCTCTAGCTTATGGCAGGGATTCATTAAGCTTCCATTATTCTTGCAGGGGCCTAAGGGCTCTTCAGAAAGAAAAATGGGGGATTTGCATAGACTACTGTAGTCTCAGTGTGGTTACAATCTGTCCCCACTGACTTCATATTCCCTGGATCAACTCTAGGGGTTATGAGCGTTTAATAAAATTAGATTTCTAGGGCACCTATGACCTCCTTCGTATCTAAGAGAGGATACCTTCTAGACAGGCCCTTGGCCAGTATAAACATATTGTGATGCCACTGGGCGACTTGAACAACACCTTGCAGGGTCTTCTGTACCACTACACACCTCAACAAGTACCATGCTCAGCCCCACCCACTGCCTTCTGAACTGAATTATTCAGGAAGTAGGAAGGAAAGAAACAAGAAAGGAAAGAGGAAGGGAGAGAGGGAAGGGAGGAAGGAGGGAGAAAAAGGAAAGAATTAGGGAGAAAGGGAGAGAGTAAAACAAATACATCCTTTCTACTTGCAAAGCACTGTGATATTGCCAGTTCTCTTTGTTACTTCAAAAAAACGTGCCATAATTTATAGTGGTTTATGATACTAATTTAGTGGACAGAAGTGATTTAAAAACTGAAACAGAATAGGCTAAAACAAAGTAGAAAATATCAGAGTTCATCAGACATAGTGATAAGGATAAATATTGCTTGGCAAAACTTTTGTTTCAGTTTTATGGATTATACAGATCTTACGGGTTGCAATAAAAATGCATTTCTTAATGAGGGTGGTGGTCATAAATAAGCAAAAACTATTGCTTTATAGAGATTGCTAAGCTTTTTCTGTAAAGGATCACATAGTAAATATTTAAGGTTTTGTGGACCATATGGTCTGTTGTAATTACTCAACTAGGCTGTTATAGTGTGAAAGCAGCCACAGACAATATGTAAGAGAGTGTGACTATATTCCCATAAAACTTTATTTATAAAAATATGTGACTCTAGACTATGTTTTGTACATCTAAAGAGTCAAACAGGGTATCTGGAAAGGGAGCCCCTTGGTTAGTCTAAGACATCCTTGTGTTGACTGGTGGTTCATCTCATACCAGCGACGTATGAGTGCTTTCTTCCCCATGGACTCAACAGTGTGTATTGTCAAACTTTTGGACTTTTGTATATCTGATAGGCAAGAAAAGGTAATCTGCTGTAGTTTCAATTTGCGTTTCTCTTATCACGAGTGAGACTGAACATTTTTACATACGTTTAAACGTTTTTGTACTCCTTTATCGAAGAACTGTTCATATTTTTGTATTTTTCTATTGGGCTGCTGGTCTCCTACTGATTTAGAGGCGGCTTTTATATTTTAAGGGGAGATCAGCCTTTTTGATGTAAGTTGAAAATATTTTCCCCCATTACCATTTATCTTTTTACTTTGCTTACTAGTATTCTAAACCATGCAGAATTTTGGGATTTGTGTGTGTTGAATGCATGAATCTTTTCTTTTTATGGCTTCTAGATTTTGAATCATAGGCAGAAAAGACTTCCCAACTTCAAGGTTATAAAAGATTTCTCCTATGTTTTCTTTCAGGTCTCTTATGGTTTCATGTTTTACATTTCAAGTCTCTGATCCCTTTGGAGTTCATGGTTTAAGGGGTAAGCTATGGATCCAACTTTATCTCTTTCCAGATGGCTACCCACTATTTATTAAAAGGCCTACCTTTTTAATACCAGTTGTCTCAAGACCATTAATTAATGGCTTTTTCCCTCCTAATTTGAAATAATGCCTTTATTATAAACTAAACTCCTGCACATACCGGGGTGTCTTTCTGGATTTTCTATTCTGTTTAGTTCATCTGCCTTGTTTTAATTAATGAAATTTTACCGTATATGATCTAGTAGGGATAATCTCCTTTATCATTTTTCCTTTCAGAGTTTTCCTGATTATTTTTGTGTTTTGGTTTCTCCATAAGAACTTTAGAATGAGCTTATCTAGATCCTCCCAAAATCTTGTAGGTACTTTTTGTGGGATTACATTACATGTTTGGTCAGGACACTGACATTCTGGTATGTCCATTTACTCAAGTTTATTTCTCTGTCTGTCATAAGTGTTTTAAGGTTTTCCTCATGCAGAAATGTTGCACATTTCTTGCCGAAAGTTTATATCTAGACATTTTATCTTTTCAATTGCTATGGAATGGGCTCTTCTCTTCCTTCTTATTTTCTAACTGGTAGTTTGCACCTTTTACTTTCACTCCACTTCAACAATCTACTTACCTGGTTATACAGTTATACCCTGAACTTTGCTCCATATGGAAAATCTTAAACTCAGTGTCACACTCTGTTGCCCATGAGTGGACTCAGGCCCTTATTCACATTCTACTTGCTTTCTGACCTCATCCAGACCTCCATTTCTTGACTCTTCTGTTGTCTTCTAGTTGTCACTCCTCTTCAGGCCTTACTTCACTTCTTGTCACTTCTGGGACTCTATGCCAAATCACTCGAGTTAACTCTCTTTCACAGTTTTCCCCCTTTAGTTCCACCAGTCTAATATGCCCTCGAACTGGATCCTCAAATGCTTTCCAGTGCTGAATATAACAGGAGAAACGGCATAGCCATGGAAATCAGAAACCACAAACATATAGGCAAAATCCCATTTGGGCCCTCAAAGCTGCTCAGTAATTCCTTTACTCATCTTTGGTCAGCTTCCATTTACCTTAGTAAGATATAGCAAGTGCTCCTTAAGTCCCCTACCTGTCCTCTCAATTCCCTTCCAGTCAACAGAAGACCCTGCCTCCTAATCTACCAAGAAAATAGAAATCATCATGTGTGAACTCCCCCAAATCTTCCAACAAACTTATTTATATACAAAGTAACCCTAGTCTCCTTCTCTCCAATCCCACTCCATCTCTTCTAGAACCTTGCTCTGTCTTTTGTATCTATTCTCTGCTTACCCTCTCAACTGACTCCATCCCTTCAGCATTATAAACAAGCTAAAATCATTCCTGCTTAGAATAATCCTCTTTTGACACTATCTGGTATTCTAGCAAATATCCTCTTTATTGTCTCCTCTTCTCATTCTAGCTTCTTGTAAGAGTACTGTCTATTTACTAGCTCTACTTTTGTTTTTACCTCCTAGTCACTAAACAATGTACAAACTGATTGTTATTCTAATCAGTCCTCTGTCATTTCACTCATTAATTACCAACCTCTTTGTTGCTAAATCCATTGGACATTTTCCAGGTTTCATCTTAGCTAGGAAGAGATTTCTAGAAAAAGAGACATCAGCAGATGTCAATAATAATGAGGCAGGCAATACCCCAGAGGGCACACCAGAATTAGGTCACATGAGTCAGATCATTCTATCTCAATCCCTGGATCAAAAGAAATGTTCTACCACATCTTGATGAGAGGAACCATGATCATGTCTCAGAGGAAAATGCAAAAATGCAAGCAGTCTCCCTGGAGGAGACTGTCCCTGACAAGGAGGATGTGAAAAAACCACTTGTTCAAGCTTATCTGTGAACTGAGAGCCTTGGGCATCCACATATGGCTGCACAATGAAGTCTGCAAATTTTCTTAAAGTAGCAATTATTTCCTCTAGTTGGGAGTCTACGGGTAGGGACATAACGGGAGACAGTGTGGATCCTACACATGACCACATATGTACCTGTGGGAAAGAAAAGGTCTGCCTTCTGCTGTAGGTGCCTACCATGGCAATTGACCCAAAAAGGGAGTTTTTAATTTTCTTTCTTTAGTTTTCTACTCCCCAGGTTCAGGTGTGTGGAGGTTTGTAGAAATACTGTCATCCACTGTTGTCAGGGAAAGCGCTAGGAGTTCCTGACAAAAGGTTTTAATTATCAGCCTCTACTCATGGAATGCCGGCACTGGTCAGGCAAAATTCAGGTTCAGTGAGGCTGAAATAGGAACAAGGTTTCCTACCAAATGTAACCTAGAGCACTAAAAGCAAGAAGGACAGCCAAGTCAAAGTCAACTTGAAAAAGCTGAAGTTTGAATGACAGAAAACCAAGTCCAAATGACGAAACCAGGTGCCAGAGCAAAGAATCGAGCAGGAATTAGATAGAGATGAGGTAGGTTAGCCTGGCTTAATGGACCACAATGGAAACTATCTAACTCCATATCTGGCAGTTAAGCAGTCAACTATTTGCTAAAATAACCAGGCAGAGCATTGTAGGTGGTATGACGACAATAGGGAGCTAAGGGTTTTTTTTTGGTCAAGAAATCTCATATTTAATGGGATGCTTTCAAGAAGAGAGATAAAGTCAAAAGATCCATGTTTTGACGTAATTAAAATGAGAGCATGACATTAATAAATGACAATATAATCTAAAATCTGGGAAGAGAATGTGGGTAAAATACTGAGGTTAGAAATGGCAAAATGTCATAGAAGGGCTATTTAAAAGCATTGTACTAAAGATGGAACACCAAGTCCATAGGAATACATGCTTTTAAGAAAAGGAGGGAGAGCAGGGAGTAAAGGAACAGGTGAAGATACAAGAGAGAGGCTAGAGGAGACAACAACTGTGTCTATCACAGGCCAGGGTGGAACAAAATTCCCAGAAGGTAAAGTCAATACAATCAAATGCGACAAAGTCATAGGAGAAAATAACTGTGGCTTTTTAGCCACTGGATTAGACTGGAAGGAAGTTGGTGATCATTTCCAACAAGACAATTTTAGTAGTACAGGTAGGATAGTACAGGTCATATCACAAAGGTGAGCAAGAGAATTAGAATTGAGGCTATGGGTTTTAGACAAGTTTAAAAAGTTTGATAATAAAAGGAAAAAAGAAGGAAAAATAGGTAAAAATAGTGAAGATTCTTGAGATGGAAAAGAAAAATTTAAAGAATACCGAAAAGGATGTATGAACAAAAAATAGAAAGTAAATGCTATGTGGAGATTTGCAACGTCAAGGTATTTATGGGTGTTCAAACTAACACCTTCAAAATAACGTTTGTGTGGTGTAAATTTTTTTTTAATAATAAGTATATATTATCTTTTTAATCAGAAAAAAAGTAAGAAAGCCATTGCCACTTTGGTAAAAAGTCAAATATGAACTGAGTTTTTTACAAAGCCTAAGTATTCTTTTAATCCTAGAGGGATGTATTTGGAACTCAGTTGAGTATTTCAAAAATGACTATTTCCCCTCGCTGAGTAGCAAATACCCAAATGCTTGCTTCTCACCTGGAGGAGTGTCCGGTGGGCTGTCTCTTTCCATCATCCACTGCTCCTCTTGCTCCAACTGAATGATCACTTCTGGCTTATAAAGTTGATGCCCTATTCATGGGAAAAATGTATGTCTTAGGAGTTTACACTGGGAACAAAAAATCTGTCTCAGAACTCATTTTCAACTTTTTTAGTCCTTAGGGTCTCTGGATTCAGAAAGGGGAGACTTCAGAGGCCTCAAAATAAAACTACCCAACTCAAACTCAACAAAGTCAAGACCTTTACCTGAGGAGAAAGAGCAGAAAACAAGGGCCTCTGTCTCCAAGACTGACTAGCATTCTTCTGTCCTGGCCTGAACTATATTCTCAAAAGCTCTGGAGGTTTTCATTACTTAAGGAAATAAACCCACCAGGACGGTTTCCAGTTTTACAGGGATACTATCCTCACCCAGCGTGACCAGATTCCTGTAGTTTTCCAGCATCACATCTCGGTAGAGGTTCTTCTGAGCAGGGTACAGCTGGTCCCACTCCTCTCTGGTGAAGTCCACAGCCACGTCCTGGAATGTCAGTGATTCCTGAAATATCAAGCATATTCCTGCTCAGTCAGAAACCGTTTTTTACAGGGGCCCTCAGGGGAAGGGGAAAAGGTGCAGCTGTAGACAAAAGTTGGGATGTCTATGCTGTTGTGCTGAGAGTCTTCAGGGCTCTGAGTAACTCATGTCAACATTTTTGAAAAAATAATTAGTACTTGTCCATCATCTTTCAAGTCAAATATAAATGAAATAATGCTTGCTTTTAAGCTTTTTACTATTTGCTGCAGAAGAAAGGCTATCATATCATCTAAACAATTAAAAAACTATATGGGAAATTCATGCTATAAGATTTCAGAAATGAAAGAATTCAGGATATGTTCAAATAGTGAAAGTAGGTATCAAGTTGGTAGATCTTATATAGATCCTTAACAGATTTTTAAGCTTTGGATAGAAGAGGAGAGAGGATTTTCCAGTGGGCTAAAAAGAAAAAAGCAACAAGGGTGAATAGGTTGAGAGTAGAAGGCACATGATACATGTTGGGATCAGTAAAAGAAAATGTCTTGTTACAGGTAGGGATTTCAAATAAAAAAAGGTGACGTCTAAGTTTTCTCCATTTTCAATGCTTCTTAAACAACCCTTTTTCTCTCATAGACACAGACAGTCACAAACAACATATATACCTCTCCCATCTCCCTTACTACCTAACGCTTCTGCAAAGTACCACTCACTTCATGGGTACGATAACTCCTCAATTCTTTGGAATGAGCAGAGTGTCATATTCCAAATCAATCCTTTTCCCCCTAAGTTCAGGTTCAATATTTAAGTACAGTACTGGCATTTTAAATTAATTTTCATGCTTTGATAACATACCTTCCTAAAATATATTTCAACTCAACGATGTAGGTAATTTAGAAATGAGTCACTGAGGCTAGAAGAAATTAAATAATTGATCTAATGACATACAGCTATTAAATAGCAGGAACAGGATTTTATTGTAAATCTTACTCGAAAGCCTATGCTCTTTCCATCATACCACAAAGATGTCTTTTCTGCCCTTATGAATATCTTCTCTTTTGTTTTTATTTCTAATTTCCATTCAACTTTCCCCACCCTCTTGAGAGCAGCACCAATGGTGCTATGTCAGTAAGGGCGAAAGAAACTATGAATTATAGTCTACATTCTTTAACATCCATATCTGTAGCTCTTTTTGGCTGTTTTAATCAATACCTTGCCTAGGGTTTCTCCTTCCTCGATGCCTTTTAATGATGATCTTGCACTCAGTTACCTGTTTCTTCTCTTTTTTTCATGTCCTTATTTGACTTTTATATACTATATATACATATATACTAATATGGTTTAGAAACAAAAACATATAAAAAAGTACTTAGTAAAAAGAGCCTCTCTCCCACACTACTTTCCTCTCTCCAGCTCTTACTCCCCAATAGATAACTATTTATACTTTTTAGTGTATTTTTCTAGAATTCTCCATTATGCAAATAATATGGAATTCTTATTTCGTTGCATTTTCTTTTTTACCTCAAAGGCAACATATTTTATACACTGTTTTTTAACTTAATTAATGCTAGAAATCTTTCCTCTCAGACATTTTAGGACATAGAGGGCCTCCTCACTAAACTTAAAGATTTTCTGACATCATTTCAGACTTAAAGAAAAGTTGCAAGAATAAAAAAAAATTCTTCCTTCTCCTCTCCTCTCTCTTTTTCTCTCTCTCTACAATTTTTCTGGGCTGTTTTAAGAGTAAATTGCAGACAATGTCCCTGAACCCCTAAAAAACTTGGTATTTATTTCCTAAAAACAAGGAATTCTCTTACATAACAACAGGACAATGATCAAAATCAGGAAATTAACACTGATAGAGTACTGTTGTCTAAAATATATACTTATTCAGATTTCACTAAATGTCCCAAAAATGTCCCTGGTAACAAAAGAAAATTCAAGATCATGCACTGCATTTGCTTGTGCTGTCTCCTTTGTCTCCTTTAATCTGCAGCAGGTCCTGAGCCTTTCCTTGTATTTCATGACACTGGCATTTTGGAAAGTACAGGCCAGGTATCTTGTAGAATAAATCTCAATTTGGGCTTGTCTAATGTCTCCTCCAGATTAGCTTCACACTATGCACTTTAGGCAGGAATAATAAAGAAGAGATGCTGGGTTCTTCCCAGTGAATTACATCAGGAGGCACAGGCTGTTGACTAAGTTCCATTACTGGAAATGTTAACTTTGATAATTTGGCTAAGGTGGTTATCTACCAGTAATTTCTACTGGAAAATTACTATTTCATCCTGTAATTACTATGTATCTTGTTGGGGAGATACTTTGAGACTAGGTAAATATCTTGTTCCTCTCCAAACTTTCATTTACTAGTTTTAGCATCCACTGGTAATTCTTGCCTGAATCAACCGTAATTACAATGGTTGCTAAATGGTGCTTTTCTAATTCTGTCATTCTTTGTACATTATTAGTTGGCTTTCTACTGTGCTGAAGAGGTTTCTCTTCTCATTCATTCATTAATTTATATGAGGTGGACTGACTTATTTTATTCAGTAGGTTATAATCATTTACTATCACTATTTTAATGCTCATATTGCCCTAGATTTAGCCAGAAGGAGCCCCTTCAAACTGGCTTCTGTGTCCTTTTGACACGTCTCTATCATTCTTTGAGTAGTTCTTTACTTTTTGGGACACAAAGATGTTCTTCTTTAAAGATTCATCTTGTGTCTTCCCTGCCCCAAGCCTGGAAACAGCCATTTCTCCAAGGATCCCTGGTTCCTTTTAATGGTCAAATACTGAGCAGCTCTGCTTCCAACCAAAGCGTCTGCAGGGTTGCAATCTGGCATGTTCTGCTCTGTTGGTGAAATAGTGAGTGGCTATGTGTGGTTCCTTGTAATGGAGAACCACACTTAGAAACCAAGATCTAGGCACTAGGGGTGTTCAATGCTACTGGAGCATCACTGCTTCAAGGGTCTCTCAGAGGTCGTATCTGGGAAACAGAGGTATAAATATAATGATGTATGTACACATGAACACACACACACAGAACTCCATACCCATTTCTATATGTAGCTATGTATTAAAACCCACGAGTCTACACTGATACCTCTAACTATAATGCAACAGCGCAGGGTTTATTCTATCCTCTCTTTTCACATTTGTAATTCCCTTCTTCAAGCAGGAGAAACCTGGCTCCCGTTATGCACAATGTATTTACTTATGTGCTCAATCCTACAATGTAAAGAAAGTGGTTTCAGTATTACTAACACATTCCTCTGCACAAAAGAAGTCTACAAATCAGATTTCAGTTTTTAGAGTTTGACTTTTGGCCTGAAGGTAGAGTCCAACTACATAGGTTTAAAGGTTAACTCCTTTTCCTAATTTCTTCAGTGTAGTTATGTCAGTAACTTGAAATACAATTTGGTTCATCTGTTTCTGTCTGTATTCAATTTTAGGCCCTCCTCCCATGTTGCCCCCACCCCTATCCCCCAATTCCCTCTATCTTTTCCACCCCATTCCATCCAAGCCTTGTAGGTAACCAATCTCATTAGACTCACCTTTATCCTTCTGGTGTCTCTTTTGGCTCAAATGAGCAGACACATGTATATGTACATTTTTATTTCCCCTTTCTTACACAAAAGTGGCATACTACAGATACTCTTGTATTTTGCTTTTTCCACTGAACAGTTTATCCCGGAAATCTCTCCACATCAGTTCATAGATATCTTCTACATTCTTCTGTATAGCTGCATGGTGCTCATAATACGTGAATGTTCCACAATTTATTTAACTAGTCTATTAACAGACATTTTAGCTGCTTTCTACTCTTTTGCTATGACAAATAACGCTACAATGAAATATCTTGTACGTATAGTATTTTGCAACTGTGTACAAGTCTATCTGCAAATCAATTCCCCAAAATGAGACGTCTGGTAAAAGAGTATATGAATCCGTAATTTTGACACATATTGTCAAACTGACCTCCTTAGAGCTTGTATCAATTTATACTCTGTAACATTAACTTATTGCTGCATAACAAACGACCCCAAAATTTAGTGGCTCAAAACAACAATTATTTATTTTGCTCACAAAATCTATAACATGGGCAGGACTTGGTGGGACTAGCTCATCTTTGTTCTATTTGGTTTCAGCTGGAGTGGCTCAGCATTGAGCTGTAGGATTCACTCTTAGGATGGCTTATTCATATGGCTGACAAATTCGTGCTGGCTATCAGCTGGGAGCTCAGCCAGGGGCCTCAGTCTCTCTCCTTATGGGCCTCTCCACAGGCTGCTTGGGCTTCTTCATGGCATAGTGGCTGGATTCCAAGTGCAAAATTCCCAAGAGAATCATCTTTTATGACCCATCCTCGGAAGTCACATAGCTTCACTTCTACCACAGTCATAAGCCTGCTCAGATCCAAGGGGAAGGAACACAGTCCCTCATCTCTTGATGGAAAGAGTATTTAAGTCACATTATAAGAGGGGCCTGTATAATGGGAGAAATCATGCCACTTTTGGAAAATACAATCTGCTGCAGTCTGAAGTGAACACATCCTCTGAACATAAAAATTCACATCCCTCCCACAGGCAAAATACACTCATTTTCTTCCCCAAGATGCCCAAATTTCATCCCATCATGGCATCAGCTTGAAGTCCAAGATCTCGTCATCTAAATCAGGTCCACAAGCAGACAAGGATCTTGGAGTATAGTTCCTCAGGTATGATTTCTTGACTGCTTTCTCTGTATATGATGACCTGTAAACTAAAAAAATAGTTATTTGGCCCCACTGTCTACCCCCTTCAAACTTAGAATGGTCGGAAAGGCATAGGAATAACCACTAGAGACACTCCCATTCAAGCAAACGGCAGTACATAGCAATTCTAAAAGGTAGCTGAACTGGGCACACGTTGAGAGGTGTAAATGAGAAACAATTTTATTTTTAAATCCAGTTAACTCCTGGTTCATTTATATTGGACATTTCTTTATTTAGCATATTTTTTCCTCTTACATTTTCCTGTAGGCAGCCAGAA